AAGAGTGAATTCAGATACTGTAGAATGCCGTGTTCCAAATAGTTACTTCTATCTGCTAAAACAGCCTTTCTTCACCAAATGCTGTCACGTTTACTCGCGTTTGAATCTTATTGCCGCTTTTCTGTTCTGATGTCTAGATTTCTCAACTTATCAGCGCATTCTCGAAAAGGTCTGATTTGTACCACGAATATTGTCGCTAAAAACAAAATAATGCAACACTTTTTTCTGTATTACTCTGTGATGGCCTTCGTTTGTCTATTTACGAGATTTTAGGAAAAATCGTAGATGGGGTTTTTTCATTATTCAAATTTCCGTGGAGTAAGCTTTTGCCAATATGAGCAATTTGACGCAATATATATAAATTTACAATTGCCCTACGGCAGCAATATTTTATGCGCCTAATAAACACATTATATCATTAAAATACTGAAGTTTGAAAACTCTGCTTGCATTACTTTCGGAGAAAAAAAAAATGGAGAACACGTAACTTATTTTGAACTGTCGCAAAATTAGACATTTTTAAAAGCTATTTTCTTTGAGTCTACAAACTTGAAACCGTATGAATTCATTCTTCAAAAGACATGCATTTCAGGTAAAAATTATCTTCTTTGAAACAAAAATATTTGTCTTTTTAGAGTATCTGCAATTTTCGAAAATGACAGGTGATCAAATTGGTGCCTCCGTGTTGGTGAAGTTTGATATTTTTTTCTCGTAAGTTATGTCGTTAATCATAAAACGAAGTTGACTTTCGGGCTACCTGGTGAGAGGTGCACAAAATATAAAATACTCAATGAAATCTAAAATATCAACTTTTGGACCCGTGTCCATCTCGTGGAATCATCCTTCCAGGGCTATTACGTGGCGGCAAGAAGGCTTGAACAAAAATGCTGGAGTGAAAATTCTTGCCCACTAGTGAAGCCGTACCAACTGCAAGATTGCGCCTGAGACAGCCATCTTACTAGGGGCATGATGAGCTGTTGGCGTTTGACGACTGAGAAGGAGCATTTTCCTCACAAGACAACGTGGCAACCTTTTCGGGTCAGATAGAGCTCAAAATGCGTCCTTATGTCACTATAGTTTTATTTAGGAAGCCTCAAACTGAAGGCAAACTTTGTTGGAGATTAAGTCACCGATACTAGTCTCTGCGTAATAATTCTTTGGAAACAACTATCTTTTAACTTATAATTACGTAGACTAACAAATCAAAGCCATTTATTGTCTAATTAAGCACCACCAGAAAACAGCATCTTTCTGAGACCTTTGGAGGGCTAAAGCTGGCTTCAGTATTGCTGGCAAAGCATTGCGGAAGTTTTCACTAGAGCAATTTTTTTAAAACCTCTTTGCGCGGAAGCACAGTGGTGAACAAATGACCCACAAGACTCAGACCACATGGCTTCTGGTGGTTTCTTAAGGCAATTTTTTAGGAGGCGTCGCTTAAGGTGATAGAAGCACTCCACTTTTAGAACTGCTTAAAAGCAGTTCAGAATGAAGTCAACAGCGCTTGTAGCACATCTGTCACTTGCATCAATCCCAGAGTTTTTCACCACACCGAACAGAGAGCCTGTTGATTGAACGTTAACAGGCTCTCGTATGTTGACACAGACAACTGTTGCAGTCTCTTGTACCTCATATAACGAAAAAAAAGCCTTTATTCCCCCTCCCCCTGCCGAAAAAAAGCTAGTTTAGTCTCTGAGGCAACTCACAACAGGACCATGTCTGCTCCCTCGAGGTCCCAATGTGGAATTTGAAGTACACCCACATTTTATTAGACCTCAGAGCAAACCTATGCACTCTATGCGCATCTCGCACTTAGAAGGAGTATTTTGTTCTTGCTGAAGCAGAATAAATCCATTTTTTGAATATATAGATGGGAAAACTTTCAAATAAATTTCGGTAAAGCAGCACTGACTACGTGCGTTTGCCGGGTTCTCATTTTTCGAAAGGTAGGGAAATTTCATTAGTTCTATAATTCATTATACCTTTATAAAGTTTAACGGCTAATAAAGTAAAAAAGAGCAGAACCGAGTTATATGCCAATTTAGGATAAGCTTGCAGGGATTTTCGGCATTCTAAACTTTAATAAGTAAGTTCAGAATATTCTGTTCACTATTTTCTATTCCCGAAAACTGAAGTGTACTTTGAAAAGTACGTTTGGCCATATTGGTTTGAAAGTGGAATGCGAGAGCAGTGTTCTGTCCCTAGTGCGTATTTCAAAGACCTTGGTGAAGATGTTTTATTGTGTCATGTAACCCGAAATGTATAAATCGTGGATGACTTCAAAGTAAGCGATAAAGTTAAAAGTACTTTGTGTCATTAAAGTTTTTGCATATAACTGCACTCTCTATGAAGGGTCGCACACTTTCAATCAGTAGCATTTATGCGAATGAATATCTTTTTTTTTTGCTTTCTATGCACCCACTGCATGATCGCAAAGGAATACATGTCTTAACGTTTATGACTTTTGTCATCTGCGGTTGGCTTCAAACCGCAAGGTTATTATGATGATCGAGTGATATTACACCCAATGGCAATGTACTCCTGTACCACGAGATTTTTACGGCGCTATGCCACGTTATATTATGAAGCCTGTGTACAACACTCTTGTGTTTGTAAAGCATGGAAGTTGTTTTAGCATCATTTACACGTAGAGGAAGTCATTTCAGTTGCATTTCCAAGCATCGACTTGGCTGTGTGACAGAATACTTGGTTGAAAGGAAATGGCTGAGATTCGATTCTCACTGGGATCTGGACATGTATATTATTATTTCAATTCATTTGACTCTTGTGTGAGTCATGGAAAAGACCATAATTTCTTTGCTCCCTTTGAACGATGCCGGCTCGAATGCCGATGCCGGCATTTCTGCGAAACAAGCTTTGTAACGTTATCGCATGAAAAAGTCTGGCTCATCCACAGGAACATTGTAAGAATGTTGGGGCAGCGTTGTTAAGATGCGCTCGGACTGGAATTCGCTGACGTGTAGCAAGACTGTGCTGCCAGGAAGACCTACTTTTGCGTCCGGATGAATCTTTCTGCAGTAAAGCTGCACGTTTATTCTTCATATGCCTGGGCGCTAGCTTAAGCTCTTTGCTGAAGTGCACCTTACAAGACTACGTCATGCTTCACCCTCTCGCCTCCTCATTTCCTCCGTGATCCTCACAACACTCCCACCTTCTTGCTAGGCTATGTGACACTATGCATGGCTAAGGAGAATTCCTGGATTCAGTATGTGCTAGAGGCGTCATTTCAACATTTTGTCTACAATTTAGCACTACTTTCTTCAGCGCTTCTGTACGCATGCTTAATACCGTCTCCTTCAAAACAAGCAAAAAGTAGTAGAGGGCACCTTTGAAAGCGGGGATGGTGGAGATAAGGAGGCCGCCATGACGAATCAGGCATTCCCTTTAAAAGAAACAATGGGAGGGCGTAGAGTTGGAAGGGGAGATGTGTAGATGCATCACGAAATTGTGAAATAATATTATGATAATGCTTAATTCATTATCAATCTGACGGAGGCCGCACGTGCAAATTGTACGTCAGAAATTGATATAAGGGCTCCACTTTCATCAGTTCTAGTTGGGTATGCACTATGTCATATTGCATGGGTTCAAGAACCCCCTTGAAAGGGTTTATACCTGCAGGCTCGAGTGTATTCAACTTGGCACTGAGTTATGACTGTGTATTTTCTTTCCTAGTCATCAGACGTTTGCTATGGCACAGTGCTTTTACTTAGCGGATCATGACTTCGATGACCTCTAAAAAGATACTAAAGGCAACTATTAAGTCGACGTTGACTGAAGAAATATTGGTCCATAAACCTCATGTGTTACTTCTGTGCCAAAGAAGGGCCTATTTTGAAATAAAATCACGTTCTAGTTGTCCGTAACAGTTTAGTGCACTTCAAATTACTCGCTCAAAAAGTTGACAGTTCGGACCAACTCACGTCAGTGTTGCAATGCACAACGTTGCCCGGCTTTCTAGCAGCAGATCGAAAGCAGCGGGAGCCACAGCAGAAAATACGGCCATAGATTAAATTCCCGCCATTAGTTCAAGATCATAGACGTTTTTCAATTCGAATGCGCCCCGCTAGATGGCACCATATGTCCACTGTAACTACACGGAAAATGCATTTTTGAACCATTTGCGCCATTTCCCATAGTTACGTCCGGTGGTTCTTTTTTTTTCATTATTCAAACAGAAACAAACAAGCAGCATCTTATTGCGCATTTTGATGCACGGAAGATTTTTTATTTATTGCAGTTAAACCGATTAGTAGTGAATAACTGTAGGTGGATTGTCTGATGTCATCAGGATCATTTTAAGAATGTCCTACGGCGGCACATGTGTTCTTGTGCATTTACCTTAATTTCTCGGTAAGTAGGTCATTGTTGTTGATCAAATTGTCGTTTTAGATGCTGTCATACATTGAGCTTTCATACTGAAGGATTTTTATTACCTTAACAAGCACACCTTATTTAGTGAACATCGCGTCTCTTTCAGGCGACACTGGTTCAAAAAATGACTGCATTTCGTCTAGTAACTGTACTTAACTAGCTTTAGGATACCATCTCATATACGATTCCTGAACACATCTTCTGGTAATTGTGCGAAGCATAAAGGTAGTGGAGTGGGCAACACGCCTATCGAGAAGACTTAAAATGCATGAAACTGCGAGTATTAGGGTGAATCGAATACTTCAGTTAGGTGTCTTAAAAGTGTGCCTAAACGAGGAACAATAGGTTAGATGTTTTATGAGGTGCAAACACCAAAAGGAGCCTATGCTATGAGAGATGCCATAAAAAATCATTACGTTTGGTAATTTCGGTGAGGCGTGAATAAAAATCAAGCATGTGTTACTGTACAGAGCAACTCAAAGCAACTGTCTGACAGGCACGCAATAAAGCGTAGATTCAAATAGTGCAGGTGGAATAGACAAGCGAGGACGTAGATTGGTTCTTCATTATGTGGGTGTGGGTCAAAGTGAGGCGCACTGAATACGCACCTGGGTGCTAAGTCTCGCAACCAGGGTCTGCTCCAGGTTGCCGTTGAGTCCCAGCAAGGGTGGAATGACCACAAATATCTGGTGCACTATCACATACACCGGCCATTCCTGCATTTTTGAAAGAGAACATATAGAGAAGGCTCAAAGAAGGTCCACAAAACTTGTCTCAAGCCCTTATTACCATCAAAGAAGGCGTAGTCGAAAAACAGAATGCGGTGGTCGCCAACACTAATAACAGTCCGAACCTTTTCCTCTCTTAATTCTTTACATCTTATCACCGAGGAGCTTAACTAAACAAGCGTCTCTTAAGCTTCCCTGCGAGCAATCAAACGAGATTGGTATGATTTATTCCAGCTTGAAAATTTGTAGAAATTTTCGGTTGTGATCAGTAAGACCCAACACCACGTGTCGTACTACAGCTTGAGGGACCACCTCGTGCTGCATTGCGTGTCTAAGCGAAAACTATATATTTTTATTTTCAGTAAGGGTAAAATCTGCTATGCTACCCATTTGACCAAAACACGTAAACATAGCATATGTGGTAACTTTTTACATTAAAAAAATAAAGATTTCTGTTGTATAGTACATGAAAACAAAGTTTTCATTAGAACCCTTCAAACAATGCGAATAGTGTTTATCAGTTCAGTTGAACGGAACTCCATTTACAAAGATCTAATGATGGTTTAAATTGGTTAGCTACTCAACCCTATATGTACGCCTACTTTTTGAAGGTGGTTGCTTTTGGTCAGCCCATTTGTATATATTAACTACGTGGTGGTCACAAACAAGAACCGCAATCTGTTTGGTTGTGCTTAAGAAAGGCAAAAGTTTGCTGCGATTTACTTACTAAATTCATAAGTTGCAACTAGAATCATTCACTTTGCAGGACGAGGTAATACAGTTACTGCGAATGAAGTATACTGGAATTACGCGGCACAACAGTTTACATTCAGTTCTATTACCACGGGTAGAGCAGCGGAGTCTTAAAGGGCGCGATGGGGAACTATTTATCAATATGAAGGTTTCAAAGGTTGACTTTGTGTGAATAATCACTTTAGGGTGTGTGACTGAGACTGTGGTGGGAAATATTCTATACGTACCTTTTTTTGCTAAAATACTTGAAGGAATTTTCACAAGTGACACGCACACGACCAGTGCATTAACATGAACTCAATGGTGCGTCTAGTGTCGTAAACAAGGGTTGCTCTCGTTTTTATAGAATAAAGTTTGTGGTACGCTTCATTGCGCTAATCTTGGAGTGAAGGCACGTCAAGCAGTTCGTAAGGCCTTATTTTTTAGCAAGTTGCTTCTGTGAAAAATCTTATGGCACTGGCAATGTGCCATATTTAAGCAACACATTGGGTTTCACTGGCAGCCAACTGGAAGTTGAGTACTGCTCGATTGTTATGATGAAACTGCAACAAATACGTGAACGAATCTAAAAATGATGTAGTGGCTCAAGTTATTAGTTGCATATATAGCATGATAGGAGTGCGTACAAGAGAGATACAGGGACGCGGCATTCCATTATTCACCTCAAATGATGTTTGTAGAGTCGGCCTCATACGTTTGTTCAATTATGAATACACAGGTAATTTAAACTACTGGCAGCTGAAGACACCTGACGTTGCATTTCAGGAACTGTCTACTTCCCGGCTTCAACTCGGGCTAGCCCTTGGGTGGAGGCAGTCTCCGCATAATTTCCAATTTCTTAACCCATTGCAAAGCACGTTGTCGTTTAGATTTTGCCAACGAGAAGGGAGGGGGGGGGGCATGAAAATTCACTCTCACACTGAATGGGCAACCCTACCCATGCTCACGATAAGATCTCTAGTTTTATCAGTTTTACCAAAAATGTGTTTTTGCCGAGGTCCACCAGGGCTCCACTGACCTATTTCCGTCGTTGATATCATGCAAGATATATCCCAACCGATTGCAAATTTCTCCTCAGGTTTCGAACCTACAACCTCCCATGCTGCAGTGGGCGACACAGACCTACCAGACCATGGAGTGTACCATTGCCCAGCTTTTTATATACATTATATGCCGTTCAGCACGTTCCCATCTGTAGCGACATGGCCCGAAAGACGTGCATTGGGGACGCGGTAAAGGTAGTTGTCCTGTGTCTGAAGAAGCGTACGCGTCTTCACAAAACGCGGTTGTTCATGCACGCACGCTAATCTCGTGATTTGTGCGCTTTGTAACTCTTGTACTTTCATGGCAACATTGCTTTTAAGTTACAGTAGTTAAAGAGAGCCCGAAGGTTACCTCGCTAGCTACTTCAACCGAGTTCATCCAAAGCTACTCAAACACGAATAAGTAAGAAATTGATCCGTGACATTTGTTGCTGTGCACGCGTCCTGTCTATGCTCCTTTCGTGCGTGCTTTCTTCTTGAGCTGCACGCTGCAAGTTTCGAACTCCTTGCCGTTCTTTGTGTGACAGTACAATTTGCTTTTGTAGCATATTGTCACGACGCACACAGCAGGAGTTCAATATAGAAGAGCTCACTTTAATTAAAAATCAAAGGCGCTCGTAAAGAGGACCGGGCAAGAGCTTCGTCTTCTTCTCTGGCTGTGCGAGCTCTCCTTTGCAGGTTGAATGCGGCATTTGCCTCCCTCCAGGAAGAGCATCGACCCGATGCTCGGCTACAGAATACGCGGTGTATGTAGTTGACGTATTACGCAACTGGCTCACTGCAATATGGCTTCATCCGCACAACGTGTACAATTTCAGATTTTTGAGCTCGCGAGGAACTGTCAGGGATAACCTCATAATTCACGTCACTTAGGCGCCGTATAACATTGTAGACCCAAAGTACTTCTTCAATAACTTTTCACAAAGGCTGCGTCGGCGAATAGGGCTCCAGACCCACACTTTCTCGCCTGGTTGATAAGTGACGTATCGGTGTCGCAGGTTATAACGTTGTGCGTCATAACTCTTTTGTCGGGCGATTCGCACGCGTGCTAGCTGCCGTGCCTCTTCAGCTCGTTGGGTAAAGGCTTGAACATCCGTGTCTGCATCCTCGCAGTCGTGCAGCAGCATGGCATCAAGCATTGTCGTCACTTCATGGCCATAAAGAAGACTAAATGGCGTGCTCCGCGTAGTTTCCTGCGGCGCCGTATTATAAGCAAACTTCCCGTATGGTAGAACGTCGTCCCAATTTTTATGATCTACGTCGATGTACATACTAAGCATATCAGCAATTGTGTTGTTGAGGCGTTCTGTTAAGCCGTTGGTTTGTGGGTGGTAGGAGGTAGTTTTTCGATGCGCTGTACCACTCAACTCAAGCACTGACTTGAGGAGCATGGCCGTGAAAGCGGTACCTCTGTCTGTTATTATAATTCTAGGAGCACCATGCCTCAGAACGATATCTTAAATGAAAAATCGTGCCGCTTCTACTGCGGTTCCACTTGACAAAGCCTTTGTTTCTGCGTAGCGAGTAAGATAGTCCGTAGCGACAATTACCCACTTATTTCCAGTATGCGAAGTCGGAAATGGTCTAAGGAGATTCATTCCGATTTGTGCAAAAGGCATGGTGGGCACTTGAACTGGTTGCAACAATCCGGCTGGTTTTAAAGGTGGCGATTTTCGTCATTGACAATCGAGACACGTGCGGACGTAATGCTTTACAGTGCCTGGAAGCTTCGGCCAGTAGTACTTTTGTTGGATTCTGAACAATGTGCGCGTGTATCCGAGGTGGCCGGAGGTTGGCTCATCGTGGCAAGCGCTCAGGATCTCATCGCGAATGGATGTCGGACGACAAGTACGTCGTCGTTGCGAGGGTCCTGACGGCCTTCCTTCGACGGCACCATGGTGGATGGCCGCATCGGCGCTACAATGCGTAAGCGTTGCAAAAACTGTAATCTGCGCCTTCATTTTACGCAATACTGCCGCTTTGCGGAGTCATCATGAGACTAGCTTCAAATTAGCGTGATACTCGGTTTTGTCGCTTGCGGGTAAGAGCATGTAGGCGCTATGCTAAAGCTATCCATACATTCCGAATTTTGCCTAATATAGACCATTTTCAAAATTGTAAAGTTCGCTTTCCTGCTATGCAGTTTAAGCAACTAATGGCGGCTTGCCATTCAGTCCAAATAGCTTTTTTTAAGCGTGGTTTGCGTACGCAATGACGTGAAAATCTTCGCGTCACCTCTCATTATTAAGCGCTCATAATAGACAAGACCAAGCACGTTCAACCAGGACACCAAGCGTGCTAGCGAAGGAGGCAGAATGGACGGCGGCGACCCTTAGTCACCTAAGAGGGTGGTGCAAGATCTGCACTTTACATTGACTAGGCAGTGGGGTGCCCTGCTGCCACACAAGCGGGGGTTCATAAAATCTGCCCCCAATATTGACCGAATAGGGAGGGGGGGGGGCGCAGCGATGGACCTTCGCCTGCCTGAACACGAACCCTGCGGATGCCCATGACTTGGACCGCGTCTGCGCATGAAGCACGACAAGTGCCGCCATTACTAGTTAAAAAAAGCAGTGCAGAAGAAGCACGCTTGTAAATTGTGAAAAGGGTTCATTGGGTCTTGCGGACGTACATCAAAACGATTTGAAATGCAGACACGAAGTAACACATAAGATGACATACCAGCACTAACTATGCAATCTGGTTTGTCGTTTCGTGTTTTATTTTTAGTTTGCACTTCTTGCGCTGCAATTCATTTCAGTTATAGGATGGCCAAATGCTGTCAATTCTAAACGCAGACGTACCAGCACCAACTTAGTGAACTCTCGCTAAAGTGTCACTGTCAGCACGAGTGAGCGCCTCAAGCAAAAGCGTCTGCTTTCAACCATGTGACAAAAACTAGGAAGCCTCGAAGTGCAATATCTTGGTGGGATAGGCTGCTTGCTAAAAACATTCATATGTATGCACCCAAAATAACATGAATAGAAAGAGAAAGTCTATATAAATTTGTTTTGGATAGTTGGTCATGGTAAAATTATGTGAAATGTTTCAATGCACATGCTTGATTTTGTGTTCTTCCGAGAAGTAGTAGCCTGCCATTTTCTTTCAGTTTATGCTGTTTTCCTGCTGATGCTGTCAAAAAGTGCCACGAGGTTTTCCTTTCTTATGAGCGCTGTCAAACAACAGGTCATC